TATGGGGTATAAGTTGGAATTTTCTAAAATCCATCTTTCTACATTATACTAATTTTAATTTGAATGGCGAATTTCCTTCCTTTGTTTTGGGAAATGAGATGTCATGTCACATGATTTTAAATGTTGAGAATTCACTGCACCTAGCTCAAAAAATTATAACTTGAAAAAGCTTAGACTTTTTTTTTCCCTAACAAAAGCTTAAACACTTTAAAATTAAATAAGTATTTTCTAATCTTATACTTTGAATACCTTTATTTTTAATAATATAATGAAAATCATTACAAAAGCTATTACAGAATTACTTTTCAAAGAAAGAGATTACTTCTTTTTGTATTTATAGATAAACTATTTTTTTTAAATCATCTTTTGTATACTATAAATTTAATTTATTTACAAGTAATTTTAAATATTCATTCTTTATATCAATCTGGTGCATTCAAAAAAATTAATTTTTTTAATTCTAGTTTCAAAACTTAAATTTTGGACTTATTCTACAAGATAACACTTATTTTATCAATTAATTTAACTCTTGAAGTTCAAAGAAAAAAGAGAGAGATTATAACGAGGTTATTGAAGATATGTTTGGTTAACATTTTTTTTATTTTAGGAAATTGTTACCCCAAAAGTTACCATCTTTTGTAAAATGTTGTTACTAGAGATTTAATATACTAAACTTGACTTATGTTTAGTTGACTAAACCTCAACAGTAATTTTCTCTAAAAATTGTTAGCCAAACATGCCCTTATCAGTATCTAACTGCCAAAGCTTGTATAGGCTTAGGATATACACCTTGGTCATGTTTGCGAAGAATGAAGAGGATGGAAAGAAACGAAAATTTAAATGCACAATATCATTCCCACATTTGGTAGACCAAATTTTCATTATAGAATGGGATCAAAGAATTAAATAAGTTTTCTTTTAGAGGGAGTCAACCTCTTCTATTTATTTATTTTTAGTACATGGAATAATGATTATGTGATAAGTGATAATTTTTTTTTTTTCAAATCCCTTTTTATTATATCAAAATTTAAATTTGAGATTTTTAACATAAAAACTTAAAGTTTTTAACTACTTGAATATCCTCTAAGGACCTTAATCTTTCCTCTATATAAGTGTTTGTTACAATGGATTGAAACTAAAAGTTAAATCAATTTCCTTTTATCAGAAAAAAGTTGATATCAAAGTAGTTAACAATTTCATTTAATTTGACTGTTAATAAATATTGTTTTTAGTAAATTAAAATTTTTTATTAATTAAAATTAGATAAAATCATTAATCAATAATTTAAAATTATTATACATACTACCCTTCAGACACAAATAATGGTGATTTCATTCCTTCCTCTTTCATATTTCTTGACCTTTTTATTAATTACAAATGCAACATAATTATAAAAGCAAACAATCTTAGATACCCCCAATCTCAATTTCATTCTTTTTAGCAGGAAAAAAAAAATCGTTCCTGCTCAATTCCAAATGTGAGATTTAAAAGTAATTTGACTTATTTTTTTAAGTCAACCTAAAAAGTAGTATTTTTTTTGGTTAAATCTCCATTTTTGTCCCTGAACTATTGTACGGACCCCGATTTGGTCCCTGAACTAAAGAAATCCCTGATTTGGTCCTTAAACTATTGTACGGACCCCGATTTGGTCCCCACTGTTTATAATTTGGCCTAAGTTGATCCTTCAACTATTGTACGGACCCCCAATTTGGTCCTTACTGTTTACAATTTCACCCCAATTTGATCCTTGAGCTATTATTTAACAGAAGGACCAAGTTGGGGTTAAATTGATAAACAGTAGGGACCAAATTGGGCATCCGTACAATAGTTTAAGGACTAACTTGGGAGTCCGTACTATAGTTTAGGGACCAACTCAGGGTCCGTACAATAGTTCAAGGACCAAATTAGGGATTTCTTTAGTTCAGGGACCAAATCGGGGGTCCGTACAATAGTTCAGGGATCAAAATAGGGGTTTAACCTTTTTTTTTTTTATGGTCCAAATTTAAAAAGTGACTGAATGGGACTTTATTGAACACGTTTTATGCGTTCACCAATTAAGGATAAAAAAAAAAGATAAACGTCGACAGCAGGGTTCGAACCTGCGCGGGCGAAGCCCAACAGATTTCAAGTCTGTCTCCTTAACCACTCGGACATATCGACTGTGTAATCTAAGTTGTCCAATGTATTTTCTATAACTTAGCTATGACTCACGTTAGTTTCTTCAGATTTCTCTAGACAAATTCATTGATTGAAGAAATTTATTTTTCTGACGTTGGATTTAAGAAATTTACAAGGCGGTGAAAAATAAATTTTTAGCATCACAACCATGAAAATTTGGATGGTGGGATTGGTATTGAATCAAATATAACAATAAAAAGTATAATTTTTTTTATCACATTATCTCTAAGACAAAGCACTAATTTTCACACAATTTTATAAAAACACAAATACTACTTCTTCTATCAAAAAAAGTAAGAAATACAATTATAACACTTTTTCTTGATATTTGATAGTGTAAAGATTTTTACTTTTGAATTTTTTTGTCAATTAAAAATTTTCATAAAATTTTTTAATATCTCAATATACCATTTAACTATTAGACTAATACCTCATCAAATATAAATTTATCTTTATAGACGCATATAATTACGGCAAATGACTGCTATAATTCATATTCATTATACAACTCAGACCATCTTCAAATCTCTCTTGTATGTGTCTCTATACATGCTGACAGCATGTACTTTAGGAGGATTCTAGGGATGAGGAGAAAACGAATGAAAGTATATGAAGTTAGGAACAATAATACTCTCCCCGGTGGAATCAGAATGGCCAGCGCTGCAGAACCAATGACCAAAGTTACATGTCCACTTGTTTGCATCATGTCCATGTCAGGTCATAACGTTTAGCTGGTAAGGACAGCATGTTGCAGACATGATCTAGTCTGGCTTGGTGTACTCAAACATCATATGTGGGGATCGATAAATTTTCACGAGTGTCCAGTAGAGGACCTCTTCAACTTCAAGTTCCCCCTCTGCTCTTGCAGAATATATATCCTCGCATATTGCAAGCAACCTGAGTAAAAATAAGTTGTGGCATTCTGTTACAAACTTGGAAGAAAAATCATTCTGAAAGCCTTTCGTTCTTCAGTCAAATTCTTAAGCATGTCTAGATGTTGCCCTCAAGTAATGTACCTGTCACATGAAGGAAGGTTCTCATATGGTATTCGCATTCTCAGGTCAGAAAATTGTAGTCTGATGAAACGGCCAACTGCTAGGACAAAGGTTAGGTAGAGACCCCAAATGCTGAACTTGCTTAGTGTTTCACCAAGAATGCCCTCTGGATGTTTGTAAAAGATGACATTGTATGTGTTCATGAAGAAAAGAGTAGCTTAAACTTTATATTTATTTATGAATGCTACAACAATCATAAGTTTTGAGAACTTACGTGGTGTTTCCTCAGATACAATAATGGCCATAGGTCCCTTAAACTCACCACATCCAGTTTCATTGGATGCATCCATGTCGTAGAAAGACCACCACTCTTGACTGCCACGATTGAGAACAACATTCCCATTAACCAGATCATCCTGCAAGTGAATTTTGTTCAGTTTTGTTTAAGAAATGGCATGTCAGTTAATATTTGTATGAATCTCAATAGAGTATAAAAGAGATGTTATAAGATAGACATACCGCCTGTTCAATAAACCGCACATCACCAGAACCAGTGAGCCGGAAGTATCTTGGATAAACATTAAATATCTTGAAACTATCTGCAGTACCATTAAGCACATTAATCACATCTAGTGAACTTGGAAGATACTGATCCTGAACAAACAGGTCATATTTTACAACTTCCTTCCCTTTGGGTCTATCCCTTGTGAATTGCCAAGAGAAGATAATGTCCATGTTCCAGTTGAGAGATTTAATATATCTGGCCTGGACAACCGGGGGAACAATCCACAACTTGCTTGCATCTGTTTGGCAGCAAATTAATTGAATATCGTTCTCATTGTAATTGCTTAAGTAACCATCAGGATCAATATTAGATGCAACAATATCCCCTGGAATCTTTTCACATAACGTAGTCTCATACAATGTAAGCCTTCCACTGCGTGTTCCTATTGATATCCGAACACTGGCATCTTTTATGGGATTTGCAATATTGGTTGGGTTTCCACTGCTGTACATCTGACCATAATGAAATGTCCGTAAATCTAGGTGCTTACAATACATTCTATTCAAAGATGGATTTAAGAATCAAGAATGGTGGTGATAGAAAATCCTAATTATTTTGTTGAAAGAGAAGAAGAAAATGAGGAGAAAGGCAGTTCAAAAACCATAGACACCAGATAGAATGATATGAAAATGATTGAAGGAACTCTGCCCTGCAGGGATAGTTAATTGAAAATAAAATTGTTGAGATTCTTACCAGCATGGGAGTCCATATAACACATAACATTATGAAGAATAGGCAAATCCCGTTGTAAAATTTAGTCCTTTTTGTCTGCTTTTCTCCTTGTTTGTGTCCGGCTCTATTCAGATTCACATCACATTTGACAAGAAAAAGGCTTGCATGAATATCCTCCAACTAGTAGTAGGAAATTAAGCTAAAATCAGATCCAGAAAATATCGTTTGTATTGCGACTCAACCACAAATTTTCCAAACAAAATAACGAGAGCTATTTCTTTCTTGGAATAAAGAACAAGGAATTAGCTGCAGTAATTTAGTGTCTAATAACATACCTTCAACCAGTCATACATAGTCAAAGATGTAGTTGTACAAGACCAATCAAGTACACATCGAAGCTCATAGAGGAATGGAAGAGCACGGTAGAGACGGAAAGCCAAATAGTTAGTTTGTGAAATGCTGCTTGTTAAAAACTGCCTGTACAGATTGCTTTCATGCGGAATCCCAAAACGGATTTGTATTGCCTGAAGAGCCAGAGAAATTGCCTTCATTAAATAAATAGCACGGAGGGCTAATTTTCCGGCGTATTTATGTGAAGGCTCCATGTACCATGCGTATTCTATAACAGAATCTGTGAAGAGGACAAGGCTGAAAAGATAAAAGATAACTTTTCCTGTGGCAAATGAGCAGAGGTAGATGATGCGATCCAAAACTATAAGGAAAAA